AAGCCATGAGAGTAGAGATCTGGCATTAGACGATGTGGAGGGGTAAGGAGTTTGACTTGATTCAGCTGACTCACTAGACTTACCACGTTGTTTACTAAGATACACCACAAAGATGTGTCATTTAAAATGTGACATGACAAAATCACTTTTTAGGCCCCAGAAGGTCATCTGGCATGGCTCCACCACCCATGGTGTCCGTCTTGTGGATAAGTACTGTGAAGCATGGCGAACTGCAGACATGGCAGTCACGGGATTTGCCTCCCCACTGAGCACCGGGAAGATTCTGGACCAGACGCCGTATAGCTGCGCTAATAGGCTAATTGTTCTGTGTATTGAGAACAGTTTCATGACAGATGCTAGGAAGTAATGACCTTCTGATGATTCTTAGAGAGTTTCCCAGTTTTTCTTATGTGAAGAGTTGACACTGAAATCTAAAATGTCTAAGTGTTGTAAATATTACAATTTTTTAATTACACATTTCATCACAAGAACAACCAAAGAAAACGTACCTCAATACACTCAAAACTAAAGACATAAAGGACTCAGCTCAAAGGCAAAATCTGATTCATATATTGGTGCTAGATTCTGCAGGAAACCCTGTGCAGTGTAAACATCCCAAATCAGGTTAAGGGCAAAGCAAGAAGAGAGACCATGGCATTTGCCCGCTGCAGCCTTCAGAAATTAATTTCCTCCTCTTAAGCATGGTTGTTGAGTGTAGGATGCCCTTCATGTTTTCTTACAAAGTCGGTGTTTAGAAACGTTACCCCTTTCTAAGTTATGTGCAAACTGAATGCTTTATTATTTCACGTCTACCCACCACCTACAGCTGTTGTTCATACAGAGAAACGGAACTGCTCAAATGATCCTGTTTGTATTTTCTTACTGTATCAGACTTTAATATGTTTTTCTCTAAAATATTATTGCTGTAGGAGTTTTATATTTTTACCCAGTTGTATTTTAGTATGACATCTGTTTATATAATTCTGACTTACTGGAAAAGTTGAAACTCTAAATTATCTGAAATTAGAAGAGAAATAACACATAATTACTACCTTCCCCTTAGCATCCTCCTCCCTACCCCCCCACCCATGATTTTATGGCTTCTATTTGGCAATTCTTGATTTTTAACTGCAGCTGAAGCAGGTTCATAGGGATGAATTAAAAAAAAAAAACAAACACATATCTTCATGCTGTATACTTCGATTTTGTTTTCCAAGTAAGTGAACATAAAAACATCTTTTCCAGGTGCTTTCTTCTGTCTGACTTTTTCACCCTCATCCCTTTATTCTCTGCCATTGATGTGGAAGTGACCTGGGGTGGGTTTGTTAATCCTCTCATAGCCACTTGGGCTAACCCTCAGGTGATGATCAAAGAAATGAAGATCTTCCCATCATGCTCTTCTGCTCCCACCTGTTGTCTCCCCCCTCCCACAGTGGGGGCAGCATGGAAGAGCAGAAGCCTTGCAGAGTGGAAAGGGGATCTGCTGTGATTCTGTCACAGTCTGGGTGCCTGATTGTTGGCGCATCTGCTCTGTCTCTCAAGGAAGTGGAGATAAAACAAGTACAATGTCAGCCTCAGTTGTTAAACACCATACTTATTAGAGGTCTCATTTTTTTGTTGGTTTGTTGAGACAGGGTCTCATTATGTAGCTCATGCTGGCCTTAAATGCATGATCCTCCTACCTCAACCTCCCAGGAGCTGGGAATATGGATATGAACTGCTGCGCCTCACTTTTCATAAAATCTGCAAAGTTGGTGCAGTATTTTTATCTCAATTTTATAAACAAAGGGAGAAAAGTGAGGCTCAAGAACTTATGTGGTCTAGGTTGCATAGCTGGTAAGGATGGGGTTACTTTCAGACTCAGGGTCTGTCTCACTCCAAGGCCCAGCATCTTTCCAAGGAATCATGGTGCAAGCTGCCTGCTCAGTCCTTCCCACTTTGAAGTGTGTGACTCTTTGGCTCTGGTTTCACTCTTAGGAGAAACATAGTCACCAGGCAAAAGGCATGCTGAGATACTTCCTCCCCTTCAGCTGGCTGGCCCAGGAACTCAGCCAAGTGAATTCACTCTCGTAGTCCTTAAAGTAGGAAGGAAATTGGGGACAACAGTAAGGGCCTCCCAGACCTCTGCTTAGGAACTTCACACATGGAAGAGCAATGAGACTTTTTCTCATGAGTCATGGGGTAACAACAGCTACAATTGGAAAGCCCCAGAGATGGATGTCTGGGGATCGGACTGTCCAGTTGAGTTCCTGCCTTTGCCTCCCAGTCTCCTTCATGCACCAGTGGAGGTGTAAGCAACCCTTGCAGAGGAGGCCCTGAGCCAACCCAGCACTATTCATACCCAGAATGATGGTCAAATCCTGAGCCGCTGAACATTAGATTCCACATGCCAAAGGCCACTGGCCCGGAGTCTTGGTTGCTTATGCAAGCCACGTAGGGTCCTCTGCTGGGATGTATTGCTCAGGCTGTATCCCACCTCTGAAAAAATTTAATCACTAGGTCTGAGCTGATCCTTTCTAATCTCTCTGTGATATTGCCCATTTCCCTGAACCTGCTTACCTTTTCTCATATATCTCCTTTTGAATATTTAGTAGGTTTTGAGTTTGAATCTTATCACAATGGCTGACAGGTTTTCCAGCCTTTACTCTTCTCCTTTGCCTGGACTTCTTAAATGCATCTGAAAGCTAGGAAGCCAACTAGCACAATCAGGCATGACATGCGAAGGAAGATTTGGCATGAGATTAGCTAATCTTTGTAGTGCTAGAGATCTTTGGAGTTCCTGCTATGAGTTGACATTGCAGGCTCTCAATCTGAAGGCTGCATTTCCCATCCAGTGACAAACCAGTAGGACAGAAAAGGCTGCCAACCCATGTCAGGGGCCAGGGCCATGAAGAGGCAGACTTGGGAAGGACAAAGGGATTGGGAAGCTATTAGGTGGGGGTCAGAAAGCACAAAGGAGAGGACCGAGGAAAATCTCCCAGCCAACATGGAGGTGACCACACAGTATGGCCTGAAGCAGAAACAAGAAAACAAAGAAAATGGACCTCAAGAGCCATCCTTGGATTTCCCGTATACGTGTGGACTTCATCTGGCTTTAATTATGCAGGAGATACAGAATTCTGGGAACTGCCGGCAACACCCCAATACAGCTTAGTATTAGTCAAGACATTGTATTAGTCAATAAAGGAAACATAGTCATATTAATACCCTCCTAAGCAATGTATTCATGAGTCCAGGGAGAAAGAACACAGAGTCATGAGACCAGGGAGAGAGCACAGAGACCCAAGGAATGTAGAGCAGGGCAATTTAGCCCGTTCTATGTGTATGTCTGTGTCTACCTATCTGCCTTGCTTGCCTACTTGTGCTTTTCTCAGTATATGGCTTCAAGCAAAGACAAGAGTCTTCACGTGGCAGGTGTGTCTACAGACAACTCCAGGCGTGTTTTACTCTATATAGCTCACCATCCCAGGGGATGGCCTCAGAGGGAAGAAAAGACTTCCTTTCCCCTCCGGGGTTGCATCAGTTCCTGGAAAGAACTCTAATTGGTCTACTTGTGTTGTGTTGTGTTGTGTTGTGTTGTGTGCCCATAACTGATTGGCAGCCTCACCAGAGATGCCGCATACAGAAGAAACAACCCTTCACCAAAAATGCTGGGGTTTTGCAATGACCAAAGAATGAGACCACAAAAAGTTGAGAGGACCAAAATATTAGATTCTGCTACACTTGAGAGCAGGGACTCTCAAGTGTGGGTGTGGGGGTGTCCTATGACAGGCAGAGGTGAGATTATACTGGCCTTGGATTCTAGGAAAGGCAGTTAGACTTTATCGCACACCTGGTGGTGCACTTTGGGAAGATTTTAAGAAGGTGAGAGATGGCATCAGATCCATGTTTGAGAAAGACCAAGCATGTCACTTGTTTACGCATTCATGCCTTCAGAAATATTTGCCGAATGGTTATTTTGTACCTAGGACCATGTTTGGAGGTACAAAGACAAATGATGCCTCCACTTTTCAAACTCCCAAGCCCATTGTAATGGCACAAACCATCCCAAATCTCACTTATTCCCACTCCTCCAGTGCCTCAGGAGCGCTACAGTAGAGCCAAACATATGCATAATATGCATACAGGCCTTGCTGACCTAGCAGCTAGAGGAGGAAATTTCTGGTTGTTGCCCGAGCTTTTTGGTCACCAGGACACCACTGAACCTCTTAGAAGCTCTTTGTGAGTGCCTCTCTGATTCCCTTTTGCCTTCTACCTTGTATTACAATTTGCGTGGTAGTCAAGTATAGAGAGTTCTTCACCTGAATTTGAATTTTTGGCTCTGCCACCTGCTAGTTTTGCAATCATAGACAAGTTACTGAAAATTTCCAAGTTACTAAAAATAATCCCCGACACTCACTTGACTTTTCCTGCAGCTCAGTGTCTTCGTCTGTACAATGAAGTTATTGAAACTGCTCTCCATTGAGCTAACTTTCTAGAAGGACTGGGAGTGAAGCTCTGGCCCTGAGTAAGCATCCTATTTTCTTCATTATCCTTAGTTCTCCAGGTATCTCCCAGGTGGAGGTGGAGGTTCTTTCTCCAGGCTTATTTATGGTGTCTTGTAGTTTGCCCGGTTTCTCTTGCCCTCTCCAAGACCAGCACTTTGATTCAACTCTCCACCACTGGTTTAGTGCTACCTGCTGTTAGTCAATATCTACTGTCCCATGTCCTAAATAGTCTAGCTCTCCTGCCCCTTTGCTCACTTTCAGCGTAATCCAACAATTAAAATATCGTTATCTGGATCAGTAGGGCTCCAAGATTCAGACTTAACACTAGAGCTAGATTTCTTCTGATTAATGGGAACATGTGCCGCAATGACTGTTCAGTGGACTTACCGCCCCCTTATTTAAGCTTGCTCAGGACCTCGAGTTCCCAGAAGAAGCCAGAGTGCCCGGATGTCTGAGCTTTTGGTAAAAGGAATTATCTACCCTCCCCTCCTTGCATATTTGTTCATTTTCTTCTGTTGTTTCTCTCAATGAATGGCACCACTATACAATCAGGCTTGAGAATCATTTCCTTGTTCATTCACTATAGTTTTTAATGTTTTATTTTTATCTGACACATGGTGTCTTAGTTACTTTTCTCATTGTTGAAACAGAATACCTGACACCCAAAGTTAAGGGAGAAAACATTTATTTCAGCTCACAGTTTGTAGAGCTTTCAGTCCATAGTCAGCTGTCTCCATGGCAGAGGGGCATCGCAGAGAAGAAACAGTCCATGGGAAAGCATGGTAGGCAGAAGGCAGCAAGCAGCAAAGTAGGAAAGCAGCTTCTTTCTGTTCCTTTATATTCTGCATCCAGGGCGGGGCACTCTTAATCCCAGCACCACACACCCTAATCAGCTACCTTTACAATCTTCTGCCTGTGCTCACATGAGGCTTTGGGGGAACATCTACATACAAGCCATGACACATGGTATTATATGTATTTATGTGATACAGTATGACATTTCAATATGTTAAAACAATGTGTGGTGATCACATTGGGGTAACTGGCAGTTTCATCACCTCACACATTTATCATTTCTTTGTGCTGGGAATACTCAGAATCCTCTCTACTAGCTTGTTCATTTAACAAATATCAACAGAGTGCCTCTTTAGTAATAAGAAAACAGTAAGAAGAAACCATAAATCAAGTGGTAGGAAGTTCAGCAAAACTGGAATGTTTCCATGATGACCATTTTGATTTTTAAATAGCAATTTTTAAAGAATATTCTGGAGCACTCTTGCAGTGTGTGGTAGTCTTCCTCTCAGACAACGTGGTGCTGGCTCCTCTACAGCACAGCTGCTCACACCTCCCTGCCGATCTCCTGGGCTCCTGCTTCTCTCTTCCACTGCATTTTCCCCACTCAGAGAGATCACTTTCTGAAAAGCCTGCCACACTCAGAGTTTTGACTTGGGTTCCCTTTTAGATGGGGATTCATTTGCAAGCAGTTTCATGAAAGGTGATTTCAGGAAATACTGGAGAAGTGAGATGAGGGAGGGAAGACAAACTTTAAAGGGTGCATCTAGTTACCGCTGTAGGCAACTGGAGCATGCTCTCCTTTTAAGAGCTCTGGGACCAGTGCATTCTGGTATCTGAGAGTTTCCAACTCAGGGAATGAGGGTATCATTCCTCATCAGAGAGGGTATCATTCCTCATCTGAGAGTTTCCAACTCAGGGAATGAGGGTATCATCCTCACACCAATCCTCATCAGTCATTAAAAAGCAG